CACGCTCTGCGCATGCGCCCTATGACAGGGGCTGTGAGGGGAGCCGGGGGGACGGAGAGCTCCGTCTTGCGGTCTCACCTTTAAACCGCGCTAGAAGCGAGATTTAACTTCGGCTTGGCATGAAAACACTTCAGGAATCAGGCTTGTAAGCTCACCGTCCTCCGTCATGATTTTGGGCACAAGTCTAGTCTTGTTAACTCAAGTAAGCAACTCCTAAGCATGAAGTAGCACCCAAGCTGGTGCTGCTGCCTGGACAGGGTGCTGGGTGGCCTGCTCTAGGTGGCCCTGCTCCAGGAGGGGCTTGGGCCAGGTGGTCTCCAGAGGGGCCTTCCAACCTCAGCCGTGCTGTGATTCTGTGGACTGGGCATTTCCTGGTTCTTTAATGGTGATTAGGCGCTTCAACTGTGAAAAAGGTGGTTAAAGTTACTTGCTAGCACAATAGGTGATTTGTGTGTAGACTTCAAACCCAATTCGCTGTCATGTAATCCTGTGTTGTACAACCATTTCCTCTGATAGAGGTTTTAATAGGCAGCAAATATTATTTGGAAATCAGTAGACTGAAATAAACACTGATTCTTAATGAGTGATCTAGCCATTGTCAGTTTTTCGGTTGACAACATTTTCCATAAAACGCAATGTCAGCTACCACTATCGTAGACTTCAAACCAAATTCGCTGTCATGTAATCCTGTGTTGTACAACCATTTCCTCTGATAGAGGTTTTAATAGGCAGCAAATATTATTTGGAAATCAGTAGACTGAAATAAACACTGATTCTTAATGAGTGATCTAGCCATTGTCAGTTTTTCGGTTGACAACATTTTCCATAAAACATAATGTCAGTTACCACTATCCTTCTTGAATTATCTTTAGGCATGGATGCAGAAAGACCCTTGCTTACAGGATGTAAACCATCTACCTGGGAAAGCAGATAGCAGCAGTGAAGTACTAAGCTAATGAGTCTTGTTTCTGAGGCGGAGCTGGTTTGCAGGTGTCTGAACAGGAGCAGAGCTGAGTTGCAGCTCCTTGTGTCTATCTGTTCAGGCACATTCTTTTTGCATGTACAGGAATTTGGTGGTAGGAAGTCAGGAAAGGGCAGAATATATGTAATTTTCAGTTTGTTGTGTGCATTCATACCTTGATTAGTTTAGTGGTATATGTTTAAAAGGGATGTTGAATAATTTTAAAGTTATTTCAGACTTCGTTAGCTTAAAGGTTGTCAAGTGATCATATTAATGATCCCATAGATCAATTTCAAAACAGTAATATCACAAAAATCCTAGTGTTACAGACATTTCTTCCATGGCAAGGAAAATCAAACAGAAAATCGTAGGAATGCAACTTACCTTGAACTACAGTATGTATAGCAGGTTTGTAATGACCGTGTTACCCTTGTTGCAGTTCCAAGAAATTATGATCCTGTACTGCATCCTTTTGAGGTTCCACGGGAATACGTAAGAGCTCTGAATGCAACAAAGCTCGAACGTGTGTTTGCAAAACCCTTTCTTAGCTCACTTGATGGCCACAGAGATGGAGTTAACTGCATGGCCAAACACCCAAAGAGCTTGTCTACGGTGCTTTCTGGGGCTTGTGATGGAGAGGTAAGTTGCAGTTATGAACCATCATAAACAAAGCCCCTTTCTTCCCCTTTTTTAATGTGCCCTATTTTATCTTTCTTTTGTATCTTTGCACAGTTATAACACTGTGCTTTCTCAGAAGGGGCCACCTATCCAGCATTTCTCAAACTTCACATTGTGACATTCCAGCATGTAAAGAATGTCAAGAAGCTTTAGAAAGCAGCCCTCAGCTCCACAGTTCCTCTAAGTTCGGTGATAAAAAGCAGCTGTCATAAGTGGGTGCAAGTGTTTGCATAAATCTAGGAACTTATGATAAACTGTGAGCTGGAAGTGATGCTTAGTTTCTTGATGTAGAACAATGAGTGTTAAACTGGGTATCCCTATGGCTTTTTGTATTTCACCCCCTGCCACACAGAGGCACACACTTTGAAGTTGAGCTGCTGCGGAGTCAGAGGAAAACTGAATAGTTTTAGTATTATAAATCTCTTCAGCGTCAAGCCAGCTGTGGCATTTCGTTGCTGTGCGAGTGTCTCTCATGCCTGAATTATGAACTGCAATTGTGCCTTGTAGAAATCTGAACTAAATAACAACAGAATATTTCTCCATTTTTAACAGGTTAAAATTTGGAACTTGACCAAGCGACAATGTGTTCGTACTTTACAAGCCCATGAGGGCTTTGTGCGGGGCATGTGTGCTCGTTTCTGTGGTACCTCATTCTTTACTGTAAGTATAACCTGTCTTCCTCGTACAGCCTAACAGCACAGAGCACCTGGTGACCACCTGTTTTTTGGTCAGCAGTTTACTGTGATCTCTGCTGTGGAGTATTTCAATTTCAATTATTTTAGAACTTGCATGCGTTTATTTAATTTGCCATGTGAACCTGTCAGTTCTGTTTCCGATTACAATTTTTTTTTGATGCTATGATACTTACATTATTCAAGGTTGGAAAAGATAAACCCTGGGTAATCGTGTTCAATTCCTTTAATAAAACTATCAGTAAAATGTATTAGTTTTCAGTTACAACTAAACTGCTTGGAAGGAATAGGACTTCCTTTTTGCATCAAAACAATTCTAAGATGATAAAATAAAAACAATTTTGTTTGAAGATTAGGGAGTCTTCAGGTTTTGCTTCTTATGTGCTAGGCCTATAAGAGGTGCATTAACTCTTACAGGTTTTGTTTGTTTGTTTGTTTGTTTGTTTGTTTTTGTTTGTTTGTTTTCTGAATTAGATTCCAGGTCACAAGAGCACTAATTATGGTGCTAGGAAAGTTGTAGCAGAAAAATATAAATGATGCCAAATTAGAATCCCCTTTTGACATTCCCTTTGCCTGAAAATTGGGAGAGGGGAAGAAGAAAGAGAACTGGTGCTGTCAGGAGAGAAGTTGAACATGTAAAACATATTTTTTAGGGAGGGGGGTAATGTTTAAATAATGCTTAAATAACATTAAAATCTGTAGCACGCACACAAAAAATCTGCATGTGACGATCCAGTTCAAGCAAAACTAATTTTGAGACACTCAGAAGGATGTTGGAGCACTGTGTGCAGATGTGACCGATTCAAGCTCTGACAATAAGTCTTCAGGTTGTACCTTCTAAATTTCTCTAAAGTGTTTTGGCAATGAGAACTAATCCTTGCCTTAGATGTATAAAGCAGAAAAGTGAAAGGGCAAGAGAGAAACACTCTACTTTGGCTGTTTCCTTTTTCATTTTGAAAGATTTCCTGTTCTTAGTTGCAAAGCAAATTAATTCAATTAAGCAGAATTCATGTAAAACTGTGCATGTTTTTCCCGATATTTCCAGGTTGGTGATGACAAAACTGTGAAGCAATGGAAAATGGAGAGTCCAGGATATGGAGAAGAGGAAGAACCAATTCATACAATTCTTGGAAAGGTAGAAAACCTTAATTTTGATATCCCTTGTCTGTTCTTTTGAATTGTTTGAAGCAATTGTTATTTAGCTTTTGGAAGAGACAGCAATAGATTGATATTTAATGGGCTGTAAGGCGACAGCATCAGATTTTATAATGGCAAAGTATCTTCACTTCCTGTTATTTCATTTACATATAACTAGAAAGAAATACCTCAAATGCCATCGGAGACTGCTGAGATCTGCCTGTAGTGATCATTCCTTTCCTGGGGACTGGTCAAATCTTTCTATAGTCTATTACTCTTGAGCTGCATGTTGTCAGTGCTTGGTGTGCATAAAATAATACTGTTTTCAAGCCAAGACCTCACAGACATTCAATACAGAACTTTGACTTTATTTTCAAAATTTCTATTTCCTGTAAAATCAGCCATGCTTTTGTCAGTAAATGGGCTTCTAATGCTGCTGCTGTTGGAGGTTGTACATTTGTTAATGTGTGCATATTAAACGAGCATGTAGAAAAACAGTTGATTATGTAAGAGTGCATCTAATAAGACTCAGTTTTCAGGGTCTCTGGTAACTCAGTTTTCAGTCATATGAACAAACACAGCAATGGCAGACTCTATATTCAATGATCTGTGTGTTGATCGTTGCTATAAGAAAACATACATACTTATGTGTACATTCTTTTTTTTTTTTTTTAAGACGGTATATACAGGAATTGATCACCACTGGAAAGAAGCTGTTTTTGCCACCTGTGGCCATCAAGTAGACATTTGGGATGAACAAAGGACAAGTCCCATGTGTTCTCTGACATGGGGCTTTGATAGCATAAGCAGCGTAAAATTTAATCCAATTGAGGTAATACTTTGGTCATGTATTGGAATATCAATGTTTTCTTGATTAGTGTAAGACCTAAGCTATATTACTCTTATCTTTAACTACTTTTTTTCCAAAAGTACATGTCTTTGTGCTTTAACGTGTGTGTATAGTTAGTCATGATGGTTTTGATAGGTAGTATACCTTTCTTTATTTTTTCTTCTCTTTGAATGGGAGAGGGGAGAAAGAGATGTAGGGCAGTCTCTTTTCTGCCCCACAACAATACATGTCATCTGCTTCAATCATGTAATGTAGTTTTCTGTCCATGGTGCTCTCATCTTGCCCTTTTTTGTAATTCCCTCTGACAGAGTCATCTCGCCTTCCAAAACCAACAGCTGAATCTGCTCTGATCTTGTATAGCGGTTCCTATGAATTTTTTGGGTGGACTGTGCATGTGGGTGGGTGAAATGTATATGGGTGGTGCTTGTTATGTAGAGAGAGGACTCTGAATTCTGAATTTTACTGAGAAAGCTGTTTAAAATGCTTGGGTTGAATAATTAACTGTACATAAAGAACTGTGAATGTATTTTCTTCAGAATGGAAAGTAGGAACTAACTGATCTTTTGTTTTGTTTTTGCCATAGACTTACCTTTTAGGAAGCTGTGCTTCTGACAGAAATATTGTGCTGTATGATATGAGACAATCAACACCGTTAAAGAAGGTAACATTTTCCTTCCTTTTTATCTCTTCTTAATAAAAGCTTATGGCAGTAATATTGATACAGAATACATAGTCTGTAAGTATTGATGAAGGTAAAGGGAAGCTCTGAACTGTGAGCTCACTGAGTGTTCATGTTCTTTGAGTTGCTTAGCTGAGTTAATCTTGGAACTTAAATCAGCGAGAGCTAAAAGGGCCCTCTCTATGTTCAAACTGGCTGTCATCCTCACTCCGTTGTAATTTTTGATAAAGTGCCTGACCTGACAGCATTTTCACAATAAGAACTTTATGTTCATTATTGCATTGTGTCTGTGTGCTTTTTTTTCCTTTCCTTTCCTTGCCAGAAGCAAACAAGGTAACTTAAAAGGCAGTTGTTTAGACCATGGGAGAGGCTTGTTCTTCATTTCATTTTTTTTGCATGTATGCAAATAAATCCTTCATGAGCTACATTTTCTTAAGTGATATATGTAGCTAGTATAAAAATTTCAGAAATTCTTTGCAGCAAAACCAAAATTACATACCATGTTTATATATGATGTTTACCAGTAACATGAAAATTCTTGTTCACTTTTAAGGGAATGTGTGTATTTGTTTAAAACAAGAAATGAATCATTCACATCCAGGTGTTAGCTAGCTGGATGATGTTTAGTGTTTATTGAGCCCCACAAACATCTTAACGATTTTGCTTCTTGAGCAATGGTCTGCTGGCTTATGAATATACACCGAATATCCTTCAGGTATGATATATGCTGCCTGCAATGACTGTGGCTAGTGAATGCTGAAATGTTATAATGAAACTTAAAATAGTCATAAAATAGGAATGTTGTTTGTGTAACGGTATTTCTCTCCCTGTGCACTAGTAACTTTTGGTGAAGTTTAATTTAGGACACTGAAAAAATGTTCCTTCTGATAAAATGTGGGGACATATATCTGGGATGTAACAATCAGGAGATTAATCTTCCCTGGTCAAGATTTCCAGCTTCTGCAAAATAAGGACAAGAATAACTGAAACACATTACATGTATGATATAAACATAAAATTGTGACAAATTCTCTCTGATATTACTGGAAAATCCAGCCCCCTTTCAAAAGGGTCAGGCTTGTTATGCCCCACTTTTTCCATTCTTTCTTCACTTTTTTTTTTCCCCCCTCCAAGCCTATAGCATTTAGCTTATTTCATCAGCAGTATTTGCGTTTAAAACAGCACCTAAGAAAAGGGGTGCTCTGCGCAGTTCTAGCCTTACATTCAGTAACAGCTGCATACAGCAACCTGGGTTGCCATTTATAGCCTTACATTCAGTAACAGCTGCATAGCTGGGTTCAAGGCCATTTAAATTGCTCTTAATACATTCATAGTGGCATTTTGGAACAATTCCTTAGCAGAGCCATCTTCTGACATTATTAGGACATTATTTCTGTTCTTATTAGGACAAGTCAAAGTTGTGAAGTCCTCGGAGATTTGGCAATCTGGTTTTATTTCTTTAACTATAAACACTAACAAGATTACTGGAATACAAAAGCAGATTGCCCAAATAATTGACCTGTCTTCTTTTCCTGTCTGCAAGGTATCTGGTTCAAGTGAACAGCTTGGATAGCTGCTTGAAATTTTAAGCAACAGAAAATACAGTTCCTGCTGGCTGTTCAAATACTGAAGTTGTCCAACTTTAAAACATCCTAATCTCTTTTCTTCTGCGATCCCATGGGTTGCACAAGAACGACTTTTAGTTTTAAAAAGTACTTTTACTAAACAGGGGAGCTCCCTTCATTTTTCTTCCCAACTTTTTTAGATTATTCTTTGCTCTGTACTTCTGTAACATCTCAACATCTTGTTTATCTCTTGCCTAAACTTAATCATGGACAGGCCAAGCTGCCAAAGGAGCTAGTGCTTCACCAAGTTATATGTACTCGTATTTCCATTAAGAGGAAATTCCTGTTGACCTCCAAACTCAGGGCAATGTGTGACCTGCCTTCCTGACTGCTCACCAGGATCACAGCAGCATGAGGAGCCAGTGTCTCCCCAGGGGCAAGATGCCTCCATCAGCACCACCCTTCTCTTGGAGTCACAGAGCTCTTAGCTTTTAATTCAGTCAGGCAGACATTCAACCTGTTTCTGCACAGAAAAAATTGTTCCCATCTTGGCAGAAAATACTGTATCTGCAGGGGCAAGGAGGTTTTGGTCAGTGACCATCTCGAGGGAACCCAGGAGCAGTAGTGTCGCCTAGAAAATGAGGAGAATGAGACACGAGAATATGCACACACTAGTAAAGCCACGATCCCTTTGGAAGGTGGAGCACTTGTAACTTACTTTGAAATTTTGTTTGTTATTTTAAAAGTTATAATTGCACAAGTGTGTTATATGCGTGTGAAATTACGTTTGGAGTAGTAAGTTGAGAACAAAAATGAGGTTTGAGTACTATAGGATTAAACACCAAAATTTCAGGATTTCAGAATTTTCAGATAGGATTATGGTTTGTCTGAAGTGTAATGAAGAATTTTGTTTAGAGTTGTTCTGTCTTTCATATGATGCTCTGTAACTATTTATCTGCTTTGTCAGGCATATTGTGTGGAAGCTATTTTTAAATACAATGGTTGAGAACTCCAGGAGCTGTGAGAAGCCACAGATGATGTGTCATCCTCCTGCCACCCCAGTGCCCTCTTCTTCCAGGGCTGCAGAGCTGCCATTGTCCCTGCAGTCCTCCAAGTTGAGGGGTCCAGTATGTGGCTCCCTTAGACTAGTTGTCCCATCCACTGCTAACCAAGGGGGAGGATATTTTTAGGGCCATCATTAGCTGCCGTTGCTCCTGCTTCGAGCCAAGCTGGCCTCCTTGTAGCTATCTGCTTGCTAGTGGCAATCTTAATGAAGGCCAAGGAACTGATTTGCTGCTGATGCAGTGACAACTGTGAGTAAATTATAACACATTAACTGTTTCACTGCTTGGCACTTCTCGGGGCAAAAAAAAAACAAGAAATAGCAACTGGCTTAGAGAATTTCTTAACTGAGATGTCTGAAATAAAATAACAAAGGGATAGGAAAAACTGGGGGAACATCAAAATAATATTATCACTTTGCAAATGCTTGCTCGCATCCTTTGAAGTGGATGTTGTATAAACAATCAGGCTCAATTAAATGTTTAATTAAAGATTCCTGCAAATAGGATGGAGAAGTGAGGGTTTCTGAAGGTTCCAGGTTGGCATGTTAGTTTTGGGTAAATGACAGCTTGAGGAAGATTTGCTTCCAAAGTGGCTTGTAGAGAAAAAATTTATTGCAGTAAGTGAAGCAATGATCAGGGATAGGAAGTCTTGATCTCTAA